CCCGGGGGGGGGGGGGGTTACTCACGTTTTGCATGCCCTAAAATGCCCTAAATAGCGGTTAGACCAGTGACCATGGATCTTTCGTCCTAGTTCTGGAGGAGCACCGGCGGCATGTCCTGCCACAACCATCTAGAAAACCAATTCAATCGAGGGAGTTGTGCGCGATTGCCAAGCCCAGTGTTCTGTTACCGACAGTATGGAAGGCAGTGGGCAAGATGGACATCGTTTTCGGGCTTACCGCGGGCGTTGACAGTTAGGACTATCTTGAACATTGCTTTTTTTTTGTGGCAACCAAGAACCAAACGCATTTTTCGGTTGATGATTGTCTGGCCACGCACAAAGTTGGGTTTGTGGTAGCGACGCACTGAAAACCAAACACACCGCTAGCGACGTTCTGGCTTGTTCTCGCGTACGCCCCATGCACCAAATACACCAATAAAGCATCTGCCAACTACTTATTGCCAAACATTGTTACCACCAACGTCTACGCTCTTGTCTTCGTGGAGTCGTAGTAGCAGACCCACGTTCTCCACGAGCGGTGGGATTAATTAACTAACCACTGCACCTCGTATTGTCTTTTCAGGTCCACTTGTGGGCATGGAAACACCCGCGTCTCGGCCTCAAAGACTACGCGGATACAAGAGGTATTGGATACCTTTCAGATTTTTTTTCAAAGTGCGAATGACAATCCCCATCTCGAACTGCTGCGTGTGCCTGGGCACCAGTATGGGTGGGGTAGCTGGGGTTCTAGATGGGAATTACCAGATTACCAGATTCATGGAGTCGCTTCAGTCGGGAACAGCATGCCTACCACGGGGAGCTTTTGTGCCACGTGTGATGATAGGCGGCTGCTCGCTCTTTCGGTCATTTTCGAATCCAGCCAAAAAATCAATATCAGTCGCCACGAGCAGGCCCTTCACCAACCATGAACTGCCCACAGAGAAGAGAGAGAGAGCGTATGGCTTGCTTTGTTCTGTCTTTGGCTCACCCAGGGAACATGCGGATGCTCTCCACGAGATACTGGTAAGCATCTCGATCCTTGGCGACCACCTGGAGAGAACATTTCCAGATACGCGCAAGAACAAAAACGGCGACGTAGAGAAAATGTTGCCTACAGTATTCCCCAAGAAAAAATACATTCAACCCTAACCCAAACACTAATACCGTTGACCACCGCAACAATATTGCGTCCCCAAAGACGTGAAAAATAAAAAATACCCAAAACCAAAACACAACAACACCCCAAATCCAATAATAAAACCCAAAAAATAAAAATATTATATTATCGTCTTCGTGGAAATCGCCCCCCCTGGAGCATCTTTTGCTCACCGTTCCGTTACGGCATGGGGTGATAGGGACGGATTCGCCACCAAGAACTACTACACCTCTACTTCTCTCCTGCCCATGCTCCAACAACCAGCCGGGCACAGCGGGTGGGGAAAGCAGCAAACTACATCGTACGATAGCTGCGAACGACATCATAGATCGAATTGAAAGAGGCGAGTTGAAGCACGCCATCGACTTCCATTCCAAGGCGCGTGCAGAACGTCTGCAGGGCAAATATACTGGGGAGCCAACCCTTAACAATGCACCACATGTGTACCAAAATACACTTGGTTTGACGATGTTTGCTGATGGGACATCGGCAAGCCAAGATGCTTGAATTTACCAGCGCTTCGAGGCAAGGAAGGTACTGTAATACACATACTGTTGCACCGCACCAACATCAAGGCGGGCGAAAATCCAATTTAAGTGTCGGCGAGCAACATGACTCCCAACGGACGCAAAGGTGGACGGTAGAACGAACGGCAAGGAATGAACGTTTCACCTGCCCGATAGTAGGAATCACGTTGAAGCTGTACCAGTCGTAGGCCTTCTGCAGCGGCTCTATAGGAACTCGGCTGAACTCGAGGCACATGAACCTGTGTATTGGGTGTGATAGGCGACAGCAGCGACAGCAGCAGCGGAGAAAGTGCCGGCGGTTACACGCATTGTCCCGGTGCCCGCAGGCGGGGGAACCTCGCAACTACTGTTGCAACACTCTTGGTCTATTGACGGTTTCATTCAGCGCTTCGAGGGTATAAGCGCTACCTTTCAGCTGAGGTGAGTTGCACCCTCGTGGAAACGTTGGGTGTTTAGCTAGAGAGTACAGTTCACGCTCCATCACCTAGGAGATTGACAGTGCTGTTGTAAGGACAGTGAGCCTGCACAACACACCAAAAAACAAATCTTGAATATAAGAACGTGTGTTCTGTCAACAATGCTACTGTAGACTACACCATACATAATCGATGTTCGGTTAGCCCGAATAGAAATTCAGACACTTGCCTCTTGGGCGAAGAAAGAGGTTGTAATATGTGGGCGAGTTCTGTATGTTGAACACTACAGTACATAGGTGGCGACTGAGGGAGAGGGGGAGGGGGGGGTCAAGAGGGGACTAAGAAAGCGGAGTAGGCGCGACAGCCTTCGGTGAGATGGTGGCTAGACCGTTAGATGATGTTAAGTTTAGTGCTTACCTGCCGCCGGGCTTGAGCACTCGATGCGCCTCCCGGAGGGCCTTGTCAACCTGATCATGATCATCCATGCGAGGAATCATTCGCCTCGCCAAGGTAAGGGGTGTTAGGAAGCTACAACTTCCTGCTTGGAGCGTGCCGTGCCTGCTACTCGCGCAAGAACACACTTCTGCTGTACTGTACGAGCGCAAAAGAACACGCTTCTGCTTCACTGTACGAGAGCAAAAGAACACACTTCTGCTGCACTGTACGAGAGCAAAAGAACATGCTTCTGCTGTACGAGAGAACCAGAGGCGGCCGGAGCAGCAGCCTCAGCAACCACAGCCACCACGTAGGTTCTGCATGGAGTGCAGTAGCACCGGTACTTTTAAAACAAATGCAGGGCACATCGTGGAGAGGTAGCAGGAGAACCAACAAACACACACAGCATAAAAACTAGCTGCAGCAGGCCCAGCAACAACAGCCTCACCAACACCAACGACAACCACCATCAAGACGTTAAAACATCCGGACCAACACAAAAAAACAAGCGCCGTTCTGCGACCTCCCGCCTCACTCACGTCCGTGACGTTCCTCCCGCCTCACTCACATCCGTGACGTTCCTCAGGCCGAAGGCGATGGTGTAGAGGTGGAACGAGTTGTCCTCGAACGGCAACGCCTCCGCGTCTGCCTGGAAAACGATAGCCATCACCATCATGATTAACCCGCCATCCGGTGCCTTGTTCTATCAGCATCTCCTAGGTCAACCTTTCGGATGACACATCACATATCCCGGCATATCTCAACGCGGCAGGTAGGGAGGTGCTATCTGCAGTGCCCCCCCCCCCATCACGCGAGGACAGTGACACAGGTGGCGCAAGCACGAAAGTACGAAATACGGAACTCCATTTTCTCATGGGACAACAAAACCAAGTGACGTTCGCGCGAAATCGCACTAAGCAACCGTCGTCGGCGGTGGCGGCAGCGGCGGCGGCGGCTGTGGAAATGAATGCATACACGGAAATCGCCTTGTTGCGGCATTACACATTACTTGGTTGTTGCGGCAGTCATCTCGCTAGCGAGTAACGAAATTGGCTGATAAGCTGATTGATTGATCGTGAACATCACCTGGACAAATTGCATGTTGGTAAGAATCTCGGGGGAGAACCGGTCCGCGGCACGTTGCTCCCCGACCTGTGCCATCCGTTCGTCGTACAACGTCGCCGTCAAGATGATCCATAGGGAATAGGGATCATCGTACAACGTCAAGCTTCAAGGGCATCGTTGTACGACGTCAAGACTAATAGGCATTGTCGTACTACAGCGTCAAGATTTAAAGGCATCGTCGTACAGCGTCAACATTCAAAGGCATAGTGGTACGACATCAAAGCCAAGAGAAGAGCATATCAAGCTACATGGGCAGGCACTCAAAAGATGGGGGGCTCGTGCGGTACCACGGTCTTCTCTCTCGCGACTGTATGGTTGACAATTCAACACGGCCGAGAACCGTACTGTAACAGCAGTCACATTGAGTGAATCAAGAGTGTCAAGAGTGAATGAGACGCCTACGTCTCTCTGCGCTGGTCGCCTGTGGGTTTGCAGAATGGTCGTACATGTACTATTGTACACCACTCAAGTACCACGAAGAGCGGCAGCACCGCACGGAACACGGAAACAATACCATCAGGCACCATCAGGTACCACGAAGAGCGGCAGCACCGTACGTTACACGGAAACAATACCATCAGGCACCATCAGGTCGTCTAGGAAGAAAACGCCTCTGATCTGCTCGCTGTTCAGTTGGTCAGCCTTCACGATACCGACGTCGTTCGCGGTCCATCACCACCACGAGCAAAACGGCCTCGTTGGCACAAACCGCAGCTCGCATACAACTCCGGCCCTTAAATTAGTCGCAAATCCATGCCACCGTTGTGCTCAACGCTGGCACGTTGGAAAGGCAGTGTCCAGGAAAATGCCTCCGCAGAGTACGTGTGGTGCTTACGGTCACCGCTTGCAACCGACACTGCCCGTGTGTCCGGCAACGTAGAGCATGGCACGGCTAAGCATGACAACAAACTACTAGCCGGGCATGGTCGAAAATCCCTTTGTGCGAGGCACAATCCCAGCTGCATTTTGTACAAGTAAGCATTCCGAGTAGGAAGAAGGTTGTTGGGTTCGGCACCACAGAAGAGTGGCAAAACCAAACACATTCCGTGACACCCAGAGCAATGACATGGACGAACAGGTCGCTGCAATATTATAATACGCCGATTTCGACCCACCTCCAGCATGTCCGGGTTGATGTCGCTAACGGTAAGCAGAGGAACGTTGCTGTCCATGGCGTCTGCTGCAGCTCCATCCTGCCGCACCTCTCCCTCCCCCCCCCGCTCTCCCTCTCCGGTGCCTTTCCCAGCTGGTGAACCGGCCATGTACGGTCGCAGCTGATCGGCCACTCTGCGTCAATAAGATAACATAATGCCAAGGTATTATCTGGACACTAGTATGGGACACAAAAAGCGCGAGATTGCACAGTCCAGCCATGTATTGACAAGAACTTTGGTTTGAAAATAAACGGAAACACCCCCCCCCCTCCCAAGCGCAACGACAAAAAAACAGGAAAGGGGGCCCAGCACATGGGGCCCACCAAGGTGGACA